GTGTTGAAGAACTGTAGGATCTTTGCTCTTGGTTGGATATGGAAGATGGGAAAAAAATATCTTTTCCAACGTAATCTTTTCTTGTTGAGGAAGATGAAGTTCAGATCTCAAGAAAGCTTTTTGAATGTTCGTAGAGAGAGCAAAAGTTATACTAGGGTTGTCTTCCCGTACTATAGATTTGACCGGTTGGTTCCAAAAGCAGACGGCTTGCCATTTTTTGGCGCATAAAAATATTCTTTTTGGATCCTTGATCAATCATCAACTTTAAATATATCAACGTGTGAAGCACATTATATGGGAATTTAATGCGCGTACTATAGTTTTCCCGTTAGGGAGCTTCTAGCCGTTGAGGGAATCTTCCGTTAGATTAATCGGCATGGGTAGCTTGAGAATTGGCTAAGTGTGAGGGCTTCTGGTGTGCTACACAAAGGGGCAATCACAGAGGGCCTCGAGCACTTCTGTCCAGCAAGAGTTCAGCAGAGGGCCTGAAGGTCTTCTGTCCACTAGTGCTTACACATAGAAATTTCTAATACAATTTTCTAAAGGGGTTTTGTTCTAAAAGCCTAAATAATCTAGCATCATCAAAATCTAAATACAATTTATTCCTTACAATTTCCCCCTTTTTGATGATGCCAAAACACTTATTCTACTTTGTAGATATGTGTCATTCACCTTTTAAATAAATTGAAATGGAAACATTTCCATGTTACATTTTAAACATGGTGGGCAACATGCATAAGAAAGCAATAAGTATTTGAAGAAATGTAAGAACAAACATGATTACAATAATAAATAAACAATATATTTTATTCAAACGTAATGGATCAAGATACAGAGAGAAGAAGAGTTAAATAAAAGCAGTAAGTATTTTCAGCACTGTTCTCCTTCTGTTCTGTTCTATTCCCTTTTATTTTCTACTTCGTGCTCTCCACGTCTCAGTTCTCTTCCCCCTTTTTGGCATCAGCCATATGGAGAAGCAACAGATGCAATTGACCGATTGCATCAGGGAGGTGACGAAGAGCATCCGGCGTGCTCTGTTGCTGCTGGTGTCAGGCTTCAACCTCCTTTGAAAGAAGGTGAACTCGCTCCATTAACACGGAGTGGGCCTCCTTGACCTCTGTCAAGGAGTCGGTCAATTGGCGAATTTCAGAGGTCAAGTCATTGAGGTTTGCCATTGAGAGTAAGTACTCTGAGGTTCTAGGTATGCCTAAGATTTCCCCCTAAGCGTATGCAGTATTAGAAGAGGAGAGGTGGTGTGTTCTGTACGGTCTTCTGTTGAATTTATAGGTGAAGAGGAGCGTCCAACGCTTCATAAGGAAGGTTTTATTAACAAAATATCTCCAATAATCACGCAATAAATTTTGCGATTAAGAGGATCACCATTAATCAGTAACGATATCTTCGCAAGCCGTTGAGTCAAGCCGATATCCAATATTTGTTTCAGATTTGAATACCTGCATTTTCTAGGGTGCCGATATCAACTGCTCTGGATGGAGCAACAACTCAAGGATTATGGCATTCATGCAAAGGAGATCAAGTTCCTCTGTGACAACACTAGTGCAATTGCCATCACCCAGAACCTTGTGCTACACTCAAGGACAAAACACATTAAGATCAGACATCACTTCATCAGAGATCACGTCGAAAAGAAGCACATATGCATGGAGCACGTATCAACATCAGACCAGCTGGCAGACATATTCACTAAACCTCTCACTGAGGCGAGGTTTTAACAAGCTGAGAGAAGAACTGGTAATGAGGGATGATATCCCAGAGATCATTGAAGGAGAACCCCTCTGTGATCAAATACCCCTGCTACAGAACGCCTCTCTATACCAGAACCCCTCTGGGACAGAGACCCTCCCTTTCAGAAAGTCATGGACTTAGAAAAATTTTGAGGAACAAGTTGAGGAAAGTTCAGTTTGATTCATGGGCTTGGGCTATTCGGGGATCTCTTGCGCAGAATATTTAAGTAAGATTTTTTTCTTACTCATTCTTAAAAGCCCATATGTTCTTAGGGTACAGAGCACCATAGAAAATGCAGGTATTCAAATCTGAAACAAATATTGGATATCGGCTTGACTCAACGGCTTGCGAAGATATCATACTGATTAATGGTGATCCTCTTAATCGCAAAATTTAATGCGTGATTATTGGAGATATTCTATTAATAAAACCTTCCTTATGAAGCGTTGTACGCTCCTCTTCACCTATAAATTCAACAGAACACCGTACAGAACACACCACCACTCATCTTCTAATACTGCATCCGGTTAGGGGAAATCTTAGGCATACCTAGAACCTCAGAGTACCTACTCTCAATGGCAACCTCAATGACTTGACCTCTGAAATTCGCCAATTGACCGACTCCTTGATAGATGTCAAGGAGGCCCACTCCGTGTTAATGGAGCGAGTTCACCTTCTTTCAAAGGAGGTTGAAGCCTGACTCAACGGCTTGCGAAGATATCATACTGATTAATGGTGATCCTCTTAATCGCAAAATTTAATGCGTGATTATTGGAGATATTCTGTTAATAAAACATTCCTTATGAAGCGTTGGACGCTCCTCTTCACCTATAAATTCAATAGAACACCGTACAGAACACACCACCACTCATCTTCTAAAACTGCATACGCTTAGGGGGAAATCTTAGACCTCAGAGTACTTACTCTCAATGGCAAACCTCAATGACTTGACCTCTGAAATTCGCCAATTGACCGACTCCTTGACAGAGGTCAAGGAGGCCCACTCCGTGTTAATGGAGCGAGTTCACCTTCTTTCAAAGCAGGTTGAAGCCTGACACCAGCAGCAACAGAGTTCACTGGATGCTCTTCGTCACCTCCCTGATGCAATCGGTCAATTGCATCTGCTGCTTCTCCATATGGCTGATTCCAAAATGGGGGAAGAGAACTGAGACGTGGAGAGCACGAAGTAGAAAATAAAAGGGAATAGAATAGAACAGAAGGAGAACAGTGCTGAAAATACTTACTGCTTTTATTTAACTCTTCTTCTCTCTGTATCTTGATCCATTACGTTTGAATAAAATATATTGTTTATGTATTATTGCAATCATGTTTGTTCTTACATTTCTTCAAATACTTACTGCTTTCTTATGCATGTTGCCCACCAAGTATAAAAGGCCACATGGAAAATAAGTGTGAATGACACATCTCTAGAAAGTAAAATAAGTGTTTTGGCATCATAGAAAAGGGGGAAATTGTAAGGAATAAATTGTATTTAGATTTTGATGATGCTAGACTATTTAGGCATTTAGAACAGTACCCCTTTAGAAAATTGTAGTAGAAATTTCCTAGTGCAATAGTTTATTCGACTGGACAGAAGACCCCAGGTCCTCTGCTGCCTCTGCTAGATAGAAGTGCTCAAGGTGTTCTTGGACTGTACTCCTCGAGAGATTCAATAGAAGGCCTCACACTTAGGGAATTCTACGCTGCTATCTAAGCCAATTAAACTAATGGGGCCCTAACGGCTAGAAGCTCCTCAACAGGAAAGTACAGTACGCGCATTAAATGCCCATTTAATAGCAAGGCGTCTGCTTTTTGGAACCAACCGGTCAAATCTACAGTATAAGCATTCAATGCGGCTGTCTTCTACACTCCAACGGGAAGACAACCCCCAGCATATAAGATGCACTTTGAAGAACAAACCGGATAACTTTTGTTCTCTCTACAAACATTCAAACAAGCATTCTTGAGATTTAATCTTCATCACTCTCAACAAGAAAAAATTGAAGTTGGATAAGATATACTCTCATATCTTCCTCATCCAATAAAAGAGCAAAGTTCCTTCAGTTCTTCAACCTTACAAAAGCCTCATCTACATATCTTTAACGAAACAACGTTGGGGAACCTCTGTTTTACAAACAGTCTTCTTTTTAAGAAGGGCGTCCAAAGTAACTGCAGTAAGTGAAGTGCGGATACTTCAAATGAGACTCAGTGAAAGGACCAGTCATCAGGAAGCAAGGAAGTGCATCCCGGGAGACAACTAGGCATGAAGAAGACGTGTAGAGCTTCTTAAGTGCTAGGATTAAGGCTGTGTAATCTGTATTTTTACAAGTTTAGTGAAACAGTGGACTAGAGGAACATGTTGTTCCTTGAACCACTATAAAAATATCTGATGTCATTTACTTACTATCTTTAATTATCTGCATTTACTTATAACTTTTTAAATCTAATTGATCTGGACTCTGTGTTCAGCAGATCTGGACTCAAGAGTTGATAGAAGGCCTACTACTGCCTTAGTTGTTTTTTAGGCTATCCGGACAGAACCCCTACCAGAAGACCATCTGCTGCCAGTCTGTTCTACCAACAGAACAGGCTATTCTGTGTAGTTTCTGAGTATGTAAATTTTAATTAAATATCGATATGAAGGATTTAATTTCAATATTGATTGACAAAAAATATTGACTTTGTAAATCAATTTGGGAGAGATCGGGTACTTTTACGTGGTGAATGCGTTTTCATGATATCATTCCATCCCTTACAATGTTTTTAACTTCCCCAATTTGGGTATTCCAAAAAATTACAACTTTTGGGTTAAGGATTGAACTTTGGGTATATATATCTGGACTATTTTCCATTCTATCGAAAAAATTAAATTAAATAACAAACACAAAATTTAATACTTCCCACCCAAAATTAAGTTTATTTTTATATTGCCAATTAAGTGCTCTTATTGTTTTTAACTTATTTTCATTTTATTTAGAGTAATTTCCTCTTTTATATACTGCGATCCTATACATTATTAAACTTCTAAAAATTAAGTTTGCATTCAATTTTTGCAAATCAATTAAACTTTTAATGTAGTTGCAAACTTGATTATTTGAAGTACTACGGATATGTCAGTCAAAGTTTTCCAACTTTTTAGAGATGTAACAGGATTTAATCAATTTATTACCTGTAGTAACTCTACTATTAAGCTGAAGTAGCAATTTTTTTGAAATAATGATAATTATGATGGTGAAAATGTAAATACGTTGCAGGTCTTCCTTGCCATTGCCATGATGCTAGGCGATGGGCTTTTCCACTTTGTTTACATGATCATAACCACCACCCTAAGCTTGGCAAAGCGCAGCACCAAAAAAGAAGTAGATGATGACGACGACGACAGTGATTATGATGAGAAAATAAGGAAAGAGTACTTCTTGAAAGACTCCATACCCAAATGGGTAGGAATAGGAGGCTACGTCGCCCTCGCCGCCATCTCCATTCTCGTCGTCCCTCTCATCTTCCACCCTCTCAAATGGTACCACATCCTCGTCGCCTACGCCATGGCCCCCGTCCTCGCCTTCTGCAACGCCTACGGCTGTGGCCTCACCGACTGGTCCCTCGCCTCCAACTATGGCAAAGTCGCCATCTTGGTTTTCAGCGCCTGGGTCGGCCTTAATGGAGGCGGGGTCCTTGCGGGCCTCGCCTCCTGTGGCGTGATGATGAGCATTGTCTCCACCGCCTCCGATCTCATGCAGGACTTCAAGACCGGGTACCTCACCCTGGCCTCGCCCCGGGCCATGTTCTTCAGCCAGGTCATCGGCACCGCCATGGGCTGCGTCATCACGCCGCTGGTCTTCTGGATCTTCTACAAGGCCTACCCTCTCGGTGACCCCACCGGGTCCTACCCCGCCCCCTACGCGCTCATGTACCGCGGCATCGCCTTGCTCGGCGTCGAGGGTTTCGGCTCCCTCCCCCACAACTGCCTCCGCCTGGCCGTCGGGTTTTTCGTCGCGGCGGTCTTGGTCAATGCCTTGGTGGAGGTGCTGAAGAAGTACGAGAAGAGGATGGGGATATATCGGTTCATTCCTAGTCCTATGTGCATGGCCATCCCGTTCTACCTCGGGGGATACTTCGCCATTGATATGTGTGTCGGCAGCTTGATTCTGTTTCTGTGGCGGATGTCTGACCGGCAGAAGGCGAGGGACTTTGGGCCGGCGGTGGCGTCGGGGCTTATCTGCGGCGAGTCGTTGTGGGGAATCCCGGCAGCTGTGCTGGCTTTGGCCGGCGCTAAAGCGCCCATCTGCATGAAGTTCGTCTCTTCTTCTTCTTCCTAGCTAGTTTACGTTGTTTAGCTTTTTGTTATGGTGTTTTTAGCTTGATTAGTTAGTTATTCCAATATTATATCGGTGCTAAGCTTGTAGAAAGTTTTTGCGTCTTTGGATTAGACGATGTTTCTATTTACTCATACGGACCCACAAAGATTTGCCATTTGGAGTTTTTAGCCAAACGAGTTAGATGTTGACTAATGTGTTTTTGCTGACTATGTCCCCCTAAAAAATCATTTGTTTATGCTTAAATATTCAATTGCAATATTTTAATTAATCTATGTGAATAATTGCGATATACTATCGTACAACGCAAGGTGCTTGTATTTTGAGAGTAAGGTAGAATTTCTCCCTTTGGTAATACTTAAATACGAGTACTTACTATAAATTAGAGTAAAAAAACTATGGGAGAATTTGAATTTACACTCCATTCGTGGGTATTGGGTAATCTTTGATTTTGCACTTCACTTCTTCACAATTTCTGGATGGATGATGTGCACACATTAATGTTTTTGAAAATGAGACGTAAAGTCAAATATCATTCAAAACATGAAATGCAAAGTCAAATTCCAAATTTTTTTAATCCATTTAACAAAAATCTAAATCGAAATTGATAACTTTCTAATACTCAATATGTATGTCGTATGAAACAAAATAATGTAATGGGCATGTTTAGCATTTAGCGGATCACGTATTATGTTAGAGGCTAGGGTTGTCAATAGCAGATTCAATTAGTGGGTTTCACTAGCGGATTAGGTTGACGGATTGCACGAATATGTTTAGTAGAAAACACCGATTTCAAAACGCTAACTCAAAACTCTCATATTTGTACCGTTTTCATTTCAACAGTTCCGTCCAAAAACGCTAGGACGATCAACTGTTTACCAAACATTGTTTTCACTTTATTGAAAACGCTAAAAGAGGTCAAATCACTGCACCATTTTTTAGCTGAACATCCCTAATACAATTTATTGGAGTGGAAGTGTGCAACGGATCTGACTTACAACATGTTGAAATAATGAGAGGCAACTTGTATTATGCACCTCATCTACTTAACTTTTTAAAAGGGTGATAATTTATTCCATATTCATCGGTTCATGCAAAAAATTATACTGAGTACTTTATTACCAAAACAGCCCCAATAAATTCCTTTGCAAGCTCATAACTCCACCGTATAAAAATTGTATTGTTTCACATTGCATTGAAGTGGGAGCTGATATTAAAACTTGTGATTACATTCTAAAATATCAAGATCATGACTTGATAGTTAATTTTAATGTCAATAGCTTAAATACATAAGCTGTCCTATAATTACAAAACTAGATAATGTTACATTATCTAATCTATTAATTTACACACACTATGTGACACTTTGGCATAGGCAAAATCCCTTTAGATCAACATAGACTCCAGCTAGTATCAAACAGTTGCAAGATTTCATCTTTCTCCACCTTCCCTTTCTTGTTTCTATGGACACTATCTTGATCACTGGGTATATGTAGTCCTTCTCTCTTGTCTTCTTCTTCTTCATAGCTCATGGTTTTAAGATAATTGTCCAAAGGAATGATTCCATGTTTCTTTACTTTAGCATTATTAAAGACTTCACTGTCTCCATCTTTCACCCCTTTAGTGAGAACTTCCTTGTAGCTGCACTTTCCTACAGATCCATTCATACCACACATATCTGTACAATCCATTTTAGTACTGTCCGACGGGGATGAACTCTCTGGACTTGACACCATTACCGGTCCCCGTTTGCCTTTTGTGCATTGGAGAGCGGGAAATGGTGAAACATGTGTTTGGAATGATGCATTCTCAGTCGCGCTAATCTCGGTTTTCTTAGTTCGTCTGACATGGTTACGGTCATTACAACCCGTGTCAACGGTTATCTCTTTTTCTTTCATGTTTTTAGAACCCCAATGAGTGAGAGCTGAAACCAGAAAACTTAGCCATGCTATCAAATGGACTAATGCCCAATCAAGAAATGGCACCCGGTGCATTAGTACCGGGAACTTATTTAATAATGTCGCTTCGAACACTATCGGAAGGCGGTCGACCACATTGGCGAGTTCGTGAATCTTGTCGAATATAGGTGTTAGTCGAGGAAAAGCCGTTTCGGTTATCGTCTCGGATTTCAGGATACATTCATCTGCTACATACAAGAGAATTGATAGCCATTGGATTTGGAAGCCATATTTGAAGGGAAGTGCACAAGTTGATAAAGATATAATTTTCTTTGATAGTGGTCCTATTGGCGCCTTCAGCTCTTGCATTCTTTTGCAGATAATTTGAGCTATTGCTAAGAATGAATTTCCACATGTTCGTAATAGACGACACCTTGACATCTTTTCCTCCAAAGTCCAAAGTTGATGTTTAAATGTTTTATGCAATCAATATAATCATCAACCTGTTCATGATAGTTGTAAGTGTAAATTCAAGGTTCAGGAAAGTAAGTGAATAAATGCAGGTAAAAAGTGCAAAAATATATTATTAATACTTGGATTCTATTGTAAAATACCAACCTAGCTAGATAGAAAAAGAAATCAAAATTCTTGTTTATGAATGGGAATTAGAGTTTGCACCGCTTTTTCATCCAAATTTTAGTTTATGACCCATTTTTGAGATCATTTGCACCAAAACTAAAAAAACTACTCTGTTCCACAATTAAATTCCCAATTTGACTTTTTCAAAAAATTTGAATCTAAGTATCTTACAACATATATATATATATATACTTATAACATCTATAATAATTTTCCATCATTTGTAATGGGACCAAAGATTCATTATTTTTTGGCTTGAGAATATGATGGAATAAAGCAAAATGGCTCACTAAACTGTCTGAGCTTCTTTGTTATGAAGCAGCAGTAAGTCCATGCAATTTTGGACGCGATTTTCACTATGGGTCATCCGGAAACAGTCTCTGTGCTTTAGTATAGGGGTAAGACTACGTACATCCGACCCCCCCCCCCTTACCCCACCGTATGTGGGAGCCTTTGCGGCACTGGGGTAAATGAAAATGATGAAAAACTGATAACATCTATAATAAATTAACATTTAAAATTTTAAATCATATATATTGCAATAAAATATATGAAATTGATTTTGTGTGATAAGGTAATGTAAATTTTGAAAACTTAATGGTCAAATTATGAAATTTGACTCCAAACTCAGATTATGAAAACTTATAACATCTATAATAAATTAACATTTAAATGGTCATAGAGTCAAATTGGGAATTTAATTGTGGGATGAAAGTAGTATTAAAAGTGGGATACAAACTCCAACCTCAAAGAATATAATTGTAAACTACAACATTTAGGGGTGCAACTACATTGATTTTAGAAATGAGGTATAAACTCAAAATTGGAAGAAAAAATGGTAGTGGAAACACAAATTCTTCCAACTTTAGGAGGCAAGAGGAACGCTATTGTCATATGATGAAAAGAAAAAATGAGAGGGAGGAATATGCTTAATACCTTTGGAAATCCTTTTCTCCGAAAGGGGATGAGAGAGTTGTGGTATGTCCATTTTATAAGCGCAAGTTGTAGAAATGCGTACTATTTCTATCCAGAAAGAATTTAATGGTGAAACGTAGCAAGTCAAACCTATACCTCTCTTTTAAAGAATGGTAATTATGAATTTTGAGTATGATCCCAAAATTGTTGTTTCAAAAATAAAAGGGTACTTCAATGCCTTGAGAAGTTAATTTGGATGAGTAACTTTAGTAATAAAATCAGTTCTTGATTCGTTTTTTAGTTCAATCTTGTTTTGTTTTAAAGAAATATGTTTATTTCAAAGAGTCACAACAACTCACAAATTAAACTGCTAGAGATTACTTTCAAAAGATGAAAACTCAAGAAGAGCCATTGTGATCAAGTTTAGGGGGATTTTAAATTGTAATAACCTTTATTTAATTTGAAACAATTATCGTGCACTTTAGAACAAATTATAACTCAACATTAATAAATACATATTATTTATAACCTGGAAGGTAAACCTCTAGCCTTAACAACAGCATTACTAGAGAACTATATACATGTCCACTTTGTTGAAGATTTCAATCAACCAGCAGAATGTCTTTTTACCAGACATGGTTCATCCAAGACATGTAATTGAGCCATTTTCATCAATAGCATCATTCAGATATAATTTCCTCATGCCATCTTCTAAAGACTCAACTGCAGTGAAATAATAAATGAATTAATTCACCAATACATTTGTAACAATGAAAATACTAAAAAAAACATTACTAACTGTTACTAATATGATTCTTGATTCTTGAACTTGGATAGCTCAGTACACTCTCAAATGACAATAAATGCTTAAAACAGGATAACACTAAAATGTCTCTGCTGTAAAATAGGAACTCGCAACTGCAAACTAGTTATGAGATGTCCAGTTACAAATCAACAGCAGTTTAGACAACATTTTGCCGTTGTTTACACCTCATTATGTACAGCTACAACTCTCCCCCTCAAGCTGAAACATGTAGAATAACAAGAAATGCTAGGTAAAAGAAATCACTTACTCCCTCTGTGATAAGAACAGAAAAATAAAATCAACGGGGTGAACCGTTGCCCAGATAATCAACGATAAATAAATACTGTTTCCCAGAGCCAAAAGGCTAAACCAACTTTTATTCCAAGATGAGCCAGAATGAATCCTAACAAGGGATTTAAATACCCATCTACTAATAATTAAACTAGGAAACAAAATCCTAGAAATCATAATAAACTCTAACTAGGAAACAGAATAATAAGGATCATAATCAACTCTAACTAGGAAACAGAATAATAAAGATCCTAATCAACTCCAAATAGGAAAGAAATAATAGAAATCCTAATTAACCCCAAAAGGAAACAAATCAGGAAAAATAAAAAGAATAAATATTAATTAAACAACCCGCAACCAGCCCACGAAGGTGTGCTTAAGCCTGTCCCGCCCCATGCTCTTCCCGCTCCATAAGGGATCAGGATGCTGAAGACGGTTCCAGAAACACCACAGCAAAATGGTGTTGCAGAGAGGATGAACAGAACACTGAATGAGAGGGCCAGGAGCATGAGATTGCATGCAGGACTTCCCAAGATGTTCTGGGCCGATGCGGTGAACACAGCAGCGTACTTGATCAACAGAGGACCCTCATCTCCCATAGGTTTCAAAATTCCAGAAGAGGAATGGAAAGGTCGAGAGGTATCTCTTAATCACTTGAAAGTTTTTGGTTATATTTCTTATGTCAAAGT